AATAATATGTAACATAACCAGATGAGAAGAGGGGCCATTTAAAGCTAAAGCTTGGCTATGATGTTACATTACAGATCAAAGGCCCCAAACAGCTCTCAACCTGCTGGCTTTTGTTCTTTCTCTATGTGTGAACTATGTTATGAAAGGAAGTCCACTGCTTAAAATATATTCTTCTACAATACTACAATGCAAACCAACATCACTCAGAACAGGAATCTGTGAACAGCACATGTAATAAATATTTTTAGAAAACTATTTACAGCATTACTTCCTGTGAACATTTAGATGAGAGCAAAATCTATTTCTTTCTGCAAAGGTTAAAAAAGTTTTGACTGTCTAGTTCAGTGCTAAATTTCCCTGGCACCTAGTTACCCATTCACATTTTATCTTAAAATCAGACTTGCTTACAAATAGTATCTTAGAAAAACATTCTCCAGCATCACTGTTTGAGCATCCCTTTCCTTTGTTTAGAAAAGACAAAGAGAGGCCATAAGGAAATATAAGTTATGGTTCAAACAGATGATGACAATCCCTGTGGAACTAGTTCCAAAGCTCCCAGCATGCTGGACCTGTAGTTCTCAGTCCAGCCAGCTGGGCAGAATGAGAATCATGATGCAGGCAGGGATGCCCAGGAACAGAGCACAGGGAAAGGGACGTTGTCAGAAAACATTGGTTCCACTACATGTAGGGTGCTCTGAATAACAGATGGGGACTCCTGAGAAGTAAAGCTGAAGACCATCTTAGAACAGATGGTTTCACTCTGTAACCATCAGTTACAGCTGGGACTGGCCCACATCTGCACAAATGAGTGCTGAGACAGGGAGAGGGAGGAGGATGAGGATGAGGATGAGAGCCAAGGTACCCACAGGTATTATCAGGGTGCAGAAGGTCATATGCTTATCTTCTGTGGTGAAGGTGTGAAGAGGTAACTCTCACAAACCCAGGAGACTAGAAGTACACACTTCAGTGTTGTCTTCAGGCAACCAGTGGTTTCCCACAGGTTTCCCGCGAGTGTAGGTATGAATTTCCTTGGGGCTACGACTAAGGCTCATTTCCCTGCACAGGCTGTGCAAGTGAGCAGTTGAACGTGTCAATGGTATATGCAAGAAGCGGGATCCTTGAGGCAAACCCTAATGCCATGCCTGGAATGGCCATACTCACTGCAGCAGTCTCACCTTGTTGTGGGATGAGGTGACAATGGGGAGAGGTGCTCAGGTTTCAAAGTCATGCCGGATCTGCCCAAATACAGTGAGGACTTCAAGGCCATACCCTTCTTCCTTCACTGTGTTAAGAGTTCAATGGCTGAACAAAGTGGTTGGGGAGGATGGATGGCAAGAAGAATTTTTGGAAAGCCCTTTTTGACAGTTCTTTTTTTTTTTTTTTTGTTAAAATAAATACTTTGTATAGAAGCATTTGAACAGGAAAAATATCACTATTTACACAGGAAAATGAATCCCACAGTGGTATGTATAAATATGCATTATATATATATATATATATTTGAAACCAGTTACTAATAGTCTTCTAGAACTAGTTAGAATGCAGAATCCACTAGTGGAATCAATAAACTTAAGCTACAGTGGCTCTCAAAACAACCCCTAACTGTGGTACAAATATACAAAATTAGGAACTCTTGTTTGTATAGTATCTTTCCCACAAACTAGCTTCCACATAGCACAGCATTAGCTGCAAGACAACACGCAGTGCAGAGCAAACAACTGGGATAGAAAAACAAGTTGGTAGTTGAATAGTATTTGGACCCAACATCCAATACTAAAAATAAAATTAGTTATGAAGAGAAAAATGCTTCTTGTGTGTGTCAGTGAAGCACTTGAGAGGGGGAAGAATGTCCCAAAGAGGCCACTTGGAAGGGGTTAGCATCATAAGCAGAAGAGGGAGATGGGCAAGGTTCCAAGGATGGCTCCCCCATGAGGTGGTGATTTCCACTCATGAGGTGGTGATTCTGGCATGACCAGAGTTGGGCTTCAATGGCCAGGGCAGGGTGCCCTGAACTTTTTCAGTCTAAAGCTGCTGGTGTATCAGTAAAGGGCCATCAACACGCTGGTATTTAAAGAAGAATGTGTGAGCTGGGCATGGTGATGCACACTTGTAATCCTAGTACTCAGCAGGCTGAGGCAGGAGGACTGATGTGAGTTTGAGGCCAGCATGAGCTACACGGCAAGTTCAAGTCCAGCCTAAACTACATAATGAGATCCTGTCTCAAAAAAAATAAATAAAGTGAGCGTGGTGGCACATGCCTATAATCCCAGCACTCGGGAGTTGAGGCAAGAGGATCGTTGCAAGTTCAAGACCAGCCTAGGCTACAAAGTGAACTCAAGGCCAGCCTGAACTGCATAGTGAGACCCTGTCTCAAAAAAAAAAAAAAAAGGTGTGGTTTAGATTTGAGGTTCAAGCAAAGACCAGTCATTCAAGTTCAAAGTTTGGAGAGTGATAAACCTGCAAATATCCTAGACACAAAAAAGACATAGAGGGCTCTATGGGTACAACCAACAGAACTTGTACTTTGAGGGAGAGGCACTATTCTAAGCTGAAAATAGGTAGTTTGTGTGGATCACTGCCGCAGTGGAATGTCTTTTACCAGGACAAGTTCACTATGGTTCAAAAAATGAATACATCATAAAAATGAATCACAGTGAACTTTTAGAAGACTTTGTACTTTTAATTACACACCCTAGTAGATTATAGGCCCGTAATTTAACAATAAATATTCAATCAGCAAAGAGGGTATCTTTTCTAACCCACAAACATCATTCAGGAATAATGTGCAACAGCAGCTGTGTAGTGGTATGAAAAGACAAGATACCCTAAAATCTAAAAGAATTGTTGCAGTGCTGTATTACACAAACAAAAATGTGTGCCTAATTGTTCATGTAATTTAATCTTGAATAACTATTGTAGGGACCAGTAAACCTGTGCTGTAAAAGGTTAGGTAGTAAATTTTTTAGTGTGGGCCACATAGTTTGTTATCACAGCCCTTTACAAGAAAGGTGAAATCCATTTATCCAACCTGATATAATACCATGGGCACCTGGTTACTTTTTTCAAATGGGCAGTCCATGCTTTTATGCTTGCATACTCAATACTTGTGTTAACTGGGATGGTCCTATTGGGCGTGAAAGCTTAAGGGTCTGTGCTCATCACTGCACCACTGCCCACCTGAGGGAGCACAGGATGCGTGCTGCCACCAAGGCTCTGGGAAAAGGAAGACCGAACAGACAGGTGGTTACAAAAGGAAATGACTAGCTATGACCCAATTCCAAGGGAAAAAGCATGAGCAAGGACACTTCTGCAAGGTGCTCAAGGTGATTCCTGGGGGCCCCTAGGGAAGCAGAGCAAAACACTTAACTGAAAACTCTATGTGCTCTGCGTTTCTGTAAATATGACATCTAAAGGAAAGAGGCTGGGCCCTCAAGGCTCCCAACTCACCTAGTGTTGACGACAGCACTCTTCTGATATTCCAAGGGTTAAATTATGTTGAAGGCTGTCTCAAAAGGCTTCCCCTAATTCTGCTTGCTTGATTTATTTGTGACAGGATCTATGTAGTGCAGGTTGGCCTTGAACTCACTTATGTAGCCCAGGCTGGCCTCAAACTCATGGTGATTCTCTTGCCTCAGCCTCCCAAGTGGTGGGATTACAGGCACCTGCCACCATGCCAAGCCTCTGCTTGCTTTAAATACAATAATCCTTTATTTTTCTGTGAAAAGAATTTGCGAGCAAGCATGGGGAGGAGTACATATTGCTTGGATATGAAAATTGCCTTACTGGTGACAGACATTTCAGTGAGTATTAAGCCATAATAAGTCATAAAATTAATAGCTAAAAGTTCAAAATAATTGGGCTGGGGGGGGTGTAGCTCAGTGGTAGAGTGACTCCCTAACATGTATGAGGCCCTAGGTTTGATCCTCAGCATTGCACTCTCTCCAAAAATATTATGTTTGAAAACAACGTATCATTGCTTGAAGTCACTGACAAAAATTTTTTCATTGACATGACAATTACATTTTGGAAAATAGCAAAGAAATGTATCCATGAGTTTTTTTGGGGAATGAAAATATCTTGGAGGAAGCTGACTGGATTTGAACTAAAGATAGAATCCATACTTTCTCAGTCATACTCAGGTGGTTAACATTTTAAATCATTCTTTTCCAAAGCACTTCAAATGCCTCAATTTTTTAATCTGTTGGCTTACTTTTAATAAAATTATTTTTGCAAGAATGTGGCCGAAAAGAGATCAACCCCAATGTATTTTTATTTTCCCCAAAGCTGACCAAAAACGTAAGAAAAAAACAGTGCTTTGGGCTTGTTGTCAGACATTGTTCTCACTCTGTAAAAAGCCTTTTCCTTCATCTACATGTGATTTTTGGAGGACTCCAGGTTCACTAAAGTCCCGAACCTAAGGCAGCCCAAGTTTAACAAGATGGTAGTCCATGTACTCTATCAGTATGTTTCCTTTGCAGTAAGAAACAAAGAAGTGCATAATAAACAATAAAACTCAGATACGGAATAAAGGAAGCAAAGAAGAGAACAGAAAAAATAAGAAGCACAAGAAAGAAATCCAGGGAGATTCTGTCCTGAACAAACATTATTTTCTGAAGCAGGGGCAAGCAAACTAACTCTTAAGAGAATAGTTTAGGCTTTGTGGCCATATGGTCTCTGCAGCAACTGCTCTGCCCCATACACAATCAGTAAGCAAATGGGCAAAGCTATGTTCCAACGAAACTTTATTTAGACAAACTAACAACCAGTTCACATTGTGCAGATCTTCAGATCATCTGCAAGCCAAAAAGAATCCTACACCAGCTGACCTGAGAACAAAAGGGGCAGGGTGGCTCCCTGTCTACTGGCCAGCCCCTTTGGGGTATTCCAGCCATGACCCAGGTGTTGTCACAAGACACCGGACTTGCTGATGGTTAACACTACATCTTCTGCTTGCATCACATAACCATGTCATCCTTTCCTTCTGGGCTCTTAAGTTCAATGATCAATAGAAATGTTGCCCATAAGTGAGTGACAGCTTTTGCCCTCATCAAAGAATCTACCACAAAGTGGAAAAGAGGCCAAACCTTAATTCAAAGGAGCTGTCTTAGAGTGATGCATTTTACTGATGACAAAGTTGAACAGTGAGAACTTCACCTGCACAGTACATGGTGCACAAAAGATTCCTTGAGAGAGCACCACATGTAAATGGATGACTAATACACCCTTCTCTCTGTACCATTATAGTAACAATGAGGCACAAAATCACACTTGAAGATTACTATTTTAGATAGGGGTATGTAGAAGTTGTTAATAAAGAATCACAGGGACTAGCAAGTGCTCATTAGCAGACATGAGTAAAGAAAGGTTTGTGGCCTTCTTGTTGTACTGCAAGACTGTCAGTCTGAGGAAGTGATGGAGTGAGGCTCTGGACCTCAACTGAAGGAGCACTCCCACCCCTAGTGGGCCTGATGAGAGAGGAAATGGGACTCCCAAAGAGGGCCCAGCTTTGGAGAAGCTATGGTACAATTCCACTGATGGTTTCCTAGGCATCTTCCAGCTCCTCCAGAAACTCAGGGAATATCAGTTCTCTGGTCATCAACTTCAGCTCTACCACTGAGGCAGTCACTTCACTGAGTACAGGCCCTGGAGCAGAATTCCTTTGTGATTTTGGATCCAGAATGTGGGACAGACTGCCTTTGTATTTGGTAGCATGCCATACTTGAAAATGGCTACAAAAAGGAGGTCTTTTCAAAGGAGGGAAAACAAGAGGAGACTGGAGTCCATATCAATTCTGGGCTTGGAGGTGTCTGGGAGACAACTTTTCCAGTATCTGCTTTAGGTGCAAACAGACCTTCCAGAGTTGGCCCTCAAGTTTTATTTTTGTTTTCTTTCTTTTATTAGCAAAATTAACTGAATAAGCAAAGATGAGATTCAACCAAAAATTTTCTAAAGTTTTAAGTCTCCTAACTTTTTAGAATTTCAGTCTATTTAAATGTAGAAACTGCTGAAAAGTGTAAGTCCATTTTAAAGACAATCCATGGCATTGTTAGGTGTATAATATAAATAAATACACACTGACTTCCTTAAATGCAGCCTAGAATGAGAGAGATGGCTGTTATCTTGAAGTGAACTTCTAAAAATGAAAAAGAATTTAGAAAAGAAATGGAATGAATTATAAACTTGGAACTAGAACTGTTCCACTGACTTCTATCTATCTCACACCTCTCCCTAACCTAATCCAAGCACCTTACAAGGTAGCCTATCAGCAGCCAAGGGAGCACGTCTTATGTACAGGAATCAGCACACCTGATATTGGCAAACATCAGCTCTTTAAGTCACCACAAAAACACTATCCAGTGACAACTATATGAGAAGATAATTTTTTAAGCCTTAAAACAAAATTTAAGATTAAATGAACTTATTCAAAACATATTAATGCTTCTGTGCAACTTAATGCTGAAAAAGGGTTGCCAACACACACACTCAGCAGTTTCATTAATATAGGTAGCTCTTGAAAGGTCCAAGTCAAAGATAATAAAAACAAAAGACTCATGGGATAGATCAGACATTAAAACACACACATACACACACACACACAAAACAATAAAAATGAGGGCTTCATTGAAGATAGTAAACTTCACTGTCTGAAATAGAATACAACTCTCAATTTCTCATGAATCTACTGCTTTTCTTTAGTCCTATTCAATTGGAAGTTTTTATCACATACAGCAAACCTTTAATAGAATGGGTAGGGAGCTTGTTTTATCATGATCTGCATGAAAAAGTAAATCTGGGTTTATCTAAAGACATCAAAAGAGATCAACAACTTAAATGGAATTCTTTTTTAAAAGGACAAGGCAACAGCTGTATATACCAGCCTATTTTGGTGACGGAGTATGTTAAAGAAGCTGAGACTTTAACAACCAAGCCTTTTTTTTTTTCAGAGTGGCCCAATGGAAATGTGAAGTACACACTGTGTTATAAACAGAGCAATGTCATAGGCACTGAGTAAAGCCAATGGGCCTATTTCAGGCTTTACCTAGAAAAGGCAGACAACATCAATTACAAATATGCAATTCTTACTTCTAAGCCATGGAACAGACCATGTGGAGGAGATATGGGAGGAGTGATACTATCAGCATTTAACTACTTAGGATGGCACTAATCAATCCAAATAGACATCTACTCCAGACAAATACATTCACTTGGTGTATTCAGCACACAGCTGAACCTTAGTTCTGTGTGTAGGGTGGTAGACACAATTGAACTGCTGGGGCAGCTTCCTCCAGTTGTCAGGGACTCCTGATTCTACACCACTGTGCTGTTCATGCCCCTCAGAATCTGGTGCTAAAGTGGTATCAAGATGCACATCGAGTCACTGGGCCACTTTTAAACCATACAGCCTGTGCTAATTACTCAGCTTCATGAACACACTGCATGGGGAAGAAAGAACTTTCTGTAAAATCGAGATTGGGAGACATTTACAGCTGCTAACCATATGCAAATACATCCAAATGCACATGTGCACCCATATTCTTAAAATTTCCTATTAATGGAAATAATATTTTGGCTTTCTCTGAATAGGGAAGTACTCTGGATAAGAAAAAAATAAGAATAATCACTTTCATCTTAATCATCAAATTATAGCCACATGATAAAAAAGATTTTTTTTTTTTTCTAAAATAGGATGAATACCTGTTAGAATGCTAACAAGCTCGCAAGGCCAAAAAAAAAAAAGATAGTAATAATCATTAATACAGCCAAAACAGAGTTTGGGGATGCAAGTAAGTTTTAGAGGTCATAAACCAAAATGAGTATTTGTAACACACTTTTTGTCCCATGGGCATGAGATTTAGAGAATATGTTCTTAAGTGACAAAAAAGACCAAAACCAAAATGAAACAAAAACAAAGGTGAGAAGAGTGACCAACAATGAATATGATTTTTAAAAGAAGGTAACAGAAATATTAATCTTTTATAATTATATATCCTCTGCATTCTCCACATACCATAAGAATGATTTGGTTTAGCTTTCAAATATTACTTGAACAAAAAACAAACATGACAGAGAGGGAAGTTGCTGCTGTGGTTTGCAGAGGGCGTCTGTTCAGGAGCAGACGCTGCAGGGTGGCTGCTGAAAGCTCCTTTCATGTGCATGACGGTGGTCTTCTTGGCTACAGTACAAGTGCTTGTGCATCAAGTATAAAATACAAGCCTTTAATCACATAGATCAGCTTTTTAGCTTTTGTAAATTTTAAAACAAAAAGGATAAATAAGGCACTGTACTTTTTAAAACAAAAACTGCTTGGTTCCAAGTTTAAAACCCAAGGAACAACCAGAATATAATATATAACTTCCCTTACTCAACCTCAGAGAAGGACTCTACAAGTTCCCTTCTCTACCTGAGATGCATTTTCTGACATCTCAAATTGTGGTGTTTTCTATTAACTGTAATTTGAAAGGCTTGATAAGCTTATAAAAGCGATTTAGATAATGCAAAATAAAAGGTTACTTCTATAGAACAGTTTCACTCTTGGCTGACATCCTTCCATCACTTTGCATCCAAACGTCTCCGTTTGCTGTGGGAAGAGTCCAGCTTTGCCTTGAGCTTTCGCTTTCTCTGGGCCACACTGTTTTCTGGGCCTTTTGTTGAGGGTCTGGTCCGAGTCTTCCCACTGCTTGGCTTCCTGTTCGTGGCTTTCTGGGTCCTGGAAGAGGATTCACCTGATCCCTTTTGCTTTGCAGGTCTCATCAGTGCTTCTGAGGTGGCAGGCCTTTTGTTTGTATTTTCTTTTTCTTTCCTGGAGGACAGGCAGTTCTTCCCAGAGGACTTTTTAGGGATCTTCACTTTATTCTCTTTCAAAGACACTTTTTTCGGCAGTTGGCTGACTTTGTCCCTTATAGATGGCTTCTTGGCAGAAGGGGTTTTGGTGGGACCTTCAATGTGCTTTTCTTTGCCAGCTTTCACTGTCAGTGCCTTGTCCTTACTGTCCTGAGTGGTGTTGCCTTCTGTTCTCTTGCGTTTGCTCTGAACTTCAGCTCTAAGCAAGATTTCAGACATCTGCTTTCCCTTCCTTCCCTTCATTCTTTCAGTACTCTTGGGTTTAACGGGAAACCCATCTGCACCCACCTGGAGGGCAAGCTTGGGGGACATCAGAGGGTTGATGCATACACTTTTACGATTCTGCTTACTTTCCACTGCCACACTCATAGGGCTGTCCATTTTTTCATTCTTCATCAATCGTTGTTGGGCTCTGAGCTTTCCTCGAATATTAGAATATTTCCTGAGGATTCTTGTACTGGCTGGAGTAGGCAGGTTTGTGGGAGGGTGGCTATTCCTATCTTCTTTGACTTCCTCTTTGTTGTCTTCAGAGTTATGGCTGAGGCTGACATCACTGCTGTCCTCTGGCTCTAGTTGAGCAGGATTCTCTCGAAATTTAGCACAGAGTTTCTGCATTTTCCAATTATTCCTAGCAGGGGTAGCTCCAGGAAACTTCTTTAAATGTTTTTTCAAGCGCTCAGCCTGCAGAGAACTGGGATACAGGCTGGAAGGAGAGTATTTCTGAAGAGGATGCTTGACAGGGGGAGTGTCTCCTGGAAGACGAGTATTGAGCTTCTTCACAATGACCAGAGACCGGGTTTCAGTTGTCTCTAAGAACCATTTACAAACATTAGATAATTTAAAGTCTGTCATAAATAACATCTGAACAGGAGAAAACTTTTGAGCTTCTAATGAACCCTTGCATTTCCGTGACCTTTTTTTGCTTTTCCAAATTTCCTTCAGTTTATCTGACCGGTTCCTTGCTCTTGGTGTTGGTTGTGCTTCTTTCTCCAACTGGATCCACCCCTTGTGAATCTTCATGTACTGGGCATTAAAGTTGGCAATCAGCTCCTGGTTCTCCTCCTCTGCACACCACTCCACAAACTTCGGCTGTTCATCCACCACTGCATCCACACCCTCCTCATCTATGGGATCTGCACTCTCAGAAGCTTCATTTTCCTTTGGCATTGGGATTACTGGTGTGGCTTCCTTTTCTGAAGTCACTTTTGTAGTATCCAAGGAGTCCCGAGAGTAAGCATGTCTCAAGTTGTAGGTTGAAGAGGTCAATCGTTTAGGCCTTGGTATCAATTTTGGTGGTCCAGCAGCATCACCACTTTGACCACCTGACATCTCAACTGAGCTAGACAGGACCTGGTGGTTAGCATCATCTTTATGCTGGGTGTCATCATGGTCTACTTCATTTACGACTGCCTCTACATCCTGTTTGGGAATGTGTTTTGGCTTCTCATTTGACTGCTCTAGGTCCCTCTTACAAAGAATACTTTCTGAGGGCACAGGAGCATCTTTCTCACTCATCTTAGACTGGACATAGATTTCTAGTCTCTCTCCAGGCAGTGGCTGGCCAACTGTGGTTATAGGATCCCTGCTAGGAAAGATCGCCTCTTGTTCTCTCTTGACTTCTTTTGTCAGCATGTTTTTAAAAGTTTGCCTTGTAATGATACCACTTCCTCCACACTCCTGTTCAATCTCTTTCTCAGAGGGGCGTTCACTGGCATTTGGGTTTTCAGTTTCTTCTAGAACTTCTGTATGGGGACTGTCATTCAGAAAGCCCTCAGGCATTGTCCCAACAGGATAGTCTTCTTTTTTAGAACACTTTGCTCCAGGGTTTTTAGAAACTTTGATCTCAGGACAAGCAGAGGAAGAATCTGAACTTTGATGTCTTAGGTACCTCTCAGCAGAGGAAGAATCTGAAAGCTGACTTCTTAAGCATCTATCAGAGGCCTCAGGGAACTTTTTACCTTTTTTCTTCTTGTCCAAATTCTCTTCAGGTGAGTCAATGTTTGGATCACAGGTATTTTTTTCTGAAGAGGATTTTATAGCACTTTCCTCTCCCTCTAAGTATACTGTACTACATGTTGCTTCACCTTCTTCAATCTCACCAGGGTTTTCATTACGGAAAGTGCTGCTTGCTTTCAGGAATGGCTCAGTCTGTAGCTCTTGAATATCTCCAGTCCCAGCCTCAGTACTGAAGCTTTGTTTGTGCTCAGCTGGTCCCAGATTCAGGGGAGGCTCCCAGCCCACAGGAGGACTTCTATTTTCCAAGCAGAAAGGATTTTCTTCTCTACTGACTGTTTCTGGAAGAGACTGAGGCCTAGAAGGGACTTCTTCACTGCCTCCGTCAGAAATGTTTTCAATTGCGGGAACCAAGTGGCAGTCCTGGAGTATACTCATCTCCTCCACATCTGGCAAGGCAACTGATTGTTGGTCTTGTTCAGGTGGAGACACCACACTTGCTGTGGGAGCAGAGATCATGGTTCTGCCTTCCAGTACATCCTCTTCAGGGAAGCAAGCAGGCAAAGGACACACTAAGCTAGGGGCTGTTGTCTCCCCCAGCCTAGGAGAGCTGCTGGGATTTGGTTCATTTATTGTACGGTAAGCCTCAGGCTCTTGAGGCTCTTTTGCAGAAGAAGTGTCTTTGCCTCCCTGTTGGAAGGAAATTATTTCCTTACAAGATTCTTCAAGGTTACCCTCTCTAGGAAGCTGCACATCTACTGTATGCCTAGGGGATGAAATTGTAAGGGTCTGCTTGGGAGTTACATTATTAGCCTCTGATGCTAGTGATGAGCAACTTGCTTTATCCTGGGAGTGTGTATTTCTGGCCAGTGTGCGAACAGTTGGCAGCTCACAGCAATCGCCATTGAAAAAGTACCCTCGAGTACTCTTTCTGGCTGTTTTCCGAGAAGATAACATAGATCTTTGATTCTCAAAATGGCATTCTGTTATTGGTTGACTGATATAAACAACATCACACTGATTATCATAATCATTTATCCTCAACCCTGATGCCTTTTTACTTTTCCGAGCTGTCTTGATGGAAGCTGATATCTTGGTACGTGAGTGTCCATTAGATGCTTTGTGTACAGCTGGCATGGGGCTGGGAGCTAACCAAATATCTTTGGAATGATCAAACTGGCCCTTATCACTGGGATGTGAATTGTAACCCACCTTATTTCTTCCTAGTGAGTGAAGATGGTTTTCTTGCTTTGGCCTTGCATCTTGTTCGTTTGCCTCTAAATCCTGATGCAATGATGTTTTTGAGCTACACTGTAAACCATTCTCTTTGTCAGCAGTTTTAGGTGAGTTTCCCATAAACCCTGAGTCCCATGTCTCTTCTGATAAAGCTTTAAGTGAATTTCGTTGAGAAATAATAGAGCTATTGCTCTCCTCATTATTCTCAGCTGCCACTTTTACTGCAATCGGACTTTCTATTAAAGCTGAACTCTGTATATGGTCTTTACCATCCTCAGATGTCTTCACACTTAGGTCTTGCTCTTGTCCAGTGGTTTGCCCCTCCAAGCTTTTAGAGATGTGGTGGGAATTCAATGAGGAAGAATTAGATGCAGTGAGGTATCCCAGAGTGGAACTATCTGTTGAACTGCCAGAATTAGGTTGAGTGGCTGGAAGTTCAGAGGAATCTTTCTGGACAACAGTCAAGGCATTCTCTCTTTCATCTACACAGTTTGTCTCAGGAGGAGGCTCCTTCAGGGTCTGTTCTTTCACATACAGAGAGCTGTGAGAGCCCAGTGAGTCTGCAAACAAATCTACAGAAGTAGGAGACTTCCTATCGAGGCACATAGCATCATTTTCCTTATGTCTGTTGCTGAGCTGGGCACAGCCAGCATTGCAAGATGATGCATCCATTGCTCCAGAATCTAAAGGCTGCAAGTCCTCAGTGTCTGGCTGAGATTCAGTGTACAGGTCGCTCAGAACACGAATGAATTGCTTTTGATGATGAGTGCAGAGTCTGACCATAAACTTCTCCAGGGGGGACTTCGACTGATTGTTAGAATCTACTGCTAGTGTCTCTGTTGAAGTCTCACTAGATGGACAAAAAGAAAAAAGGAATTAGTATGGTCATTTTCTAAAGAACCAATTTTACATTATCAAAATTCACTGATATTAATTATATTGTAAAGAGAGTAGGCACTATGGCCAACACTGCTTCTAAATTCACCAATACTTCGGATTCAGTAAAAAAAAAACAAAAACGTACCTAATTTAAAGGCAAGCTTATATTTTCAATTTTTGTGACAATATTCTTAATACTTTAAAAATGCTCATTAAGAAAAAACTTTTCATCTTACAGAGAAGAAATATTAAAAAATAATTCTTCCCCCCAAAATATAATTTTGGCCACACTATTAACTGTACTTGATCAACACAGCCAAGCTGAACATCCCCAAACTGAAAATATGAAATGCTTTAAAACAGGAAATTTTTTGAGTGATGACATAACAGCACAAGTGAAATTTCCAAACCATAAAATTTAATTTTATGTACAGAATTATTTAAAACACACAGCTGGACATGATGGTGCACACCTGAAATCCCAGCACTTAGAAATCTCAGGGAGGAGGATCATGAGTTTAAGGCCAGCCTGGGCATTCAGTCTGTTCAAGACTGGCTTAGATTATATAGTGAGATCCTGTTTCAGAAACAAACAACAACAACAACAACAAAAATATGAAGGGGAAGAAGAAACAAAAACAAACAAAAATTAAGTCACCATATGAGGTTACATTTAGGCTGTGTGCATAAGGTGTACATGAAAGAAATGATTCTGTGTTTAGACGTGGGTCCACCTTCCAAGATACCTTATTATGTATGCAAATATGCCCAAATCTGAAAAAATTTCAAATCAAAAATACTTCTGGTCCCAAGCATTTTAGATAAGGGATATACAACCTGTAGTTCTGCTTTAGGCCTATGTATTCCTGTTAATAATCCACAACACTGACATAAATTCAGACATACTATACTACAAGTCTTGATTTAAAAGTACCTAGAGAATTTAACAGTTTTAACCACTAGACAGTTTATGCCCAGCATCACTTGGGCAGTACATTTCCATACTGACTATCCCAAGTATCGCTTGGGCAGGTATCATTTCAACCAGTCAATTCCTATATTGAATATATTTGATGAAATTGTCATTTTTATATTTCCTGTTATCTTATAAAAATTAATGAAAAAGCATGCAATTTGGGGTCATCTTGTACTTAAATAATTGGACTGCTACCTGGTTAAGATGATTTCTTAGTAAAACTAATTGGCTGGACAAATGGTAAATGTGACATAGGAATCTTTTTAGCCTTTTCTGGGGCATGGACCAATAGAAATGAATTCATTTCACAGTTCAGGGATATTAAACAGATCAGTGACATGCAAGTCCTGACTTTTAGCCTTTAAGTGAAGAAACAGAAACACACTGTAAACTACATAGTGAGATAATGCAAAGTACAATGCTACTATAAGCCAAAGTAGCAGAAATACATCATACAAGCCCTGACTGTCACATTCCCTAGACTTTCAATAAACACTTTACAATCATCCAGAAGAAGTCATTCCACATTAAAGAACCTCTTTCATTTTTTAAATTTTTTTTTATTTTTTGGTACCAGGAATTGAACTTGCAACCTCTGCCAGGCAGGCACTCTGCTGCTGAACTAAATCCCCAACCCAAGAACCTCTTTCAGTTACTTTCCTTGAATATATAGGACAAACTCTTATAGCTTGACCCAGACAGTTCGGGGGTGGAGACAGGAAAAGATGATACCAGCCTCAAGACAGGTTACAGGCCACGCCTGCTTAGATTGTCAAGAGTTTTGAGTAACTGCTTTGTGCTTTTGGATGTCTGGGTTTTACTGAGCCCATGTGGTTGGAGCGCTCCACTATCCTCAAGTTTGACACAACTTTTCAACTTCCCTCTCTCTGGATTTAAATCCATGTGGGACTATTATCTGACCATAAAACATGGCAGAACATGGAAGGCAGCTTAATAAATGTGTAGAACAGATAGACATTTGATTATATCTTCTAATTCTCTTCTTCCACCTTTGACTTTTACCACCCAGTCATGAACTGCCTTTATAGAAAGGCCTACTCAAAGTCAGCCTATATTATTCTCTACCTGCCCATCCTCCACTGGTAGTATAGCTATCGGCTGTGGAATATGAGACACCTATATTCTAGTTCTAGCTCTGACATTTACTATTTGCAGGATCTCAAGCAAGTCACTTAATCTCTCTGAACCCTAGTTTCCTCATCTGTAAATTGGACTGAATATCAGCATGTCAAGGGATTGTTGTGAGATATTAGGTAACATACATAAAATACAAACTACAAAAGAGCAGGTGCTCAATATTAGTTTCTCTGTTCCTAACTCCGGGAGATTTTAAAGATCAAGTGGTGAAACTCATCTTAATACAAACTAAATACAACAATGAACCCTAGAACTAGCAATAGAGCAGTTTTACTCAGTGGTGCCACTGGTTTCTGAAATAGCCTAGGTTGAACCACAGACTGAGAGGTCAAAAGTATTTTAGCAAATACCTATTTCAAATTTAACATTGACCACTTAATTGTGATCAAGAAAAACATTACAAAATATTACAAAAATTTCATGGAAAAAAAAGAAAAAAAATTCATGGGGATGGTACACTTTCAAGTATAGGCCAGCAGTGGGGCCAAACTGTACTGAGGAAGAAAAGACCAAAAGCAACTTGAAAAACTCAGTGGCTTACTTACGGTATGTGTACTTTTCTATTTGTACACTTTACTTCAATAAAAAAATTTTTACAATGCAACATCTGTAAAGTCAAAGGAATTAGCTCCTCTTGTTTTGCAAGAATGGGAAATACTTTCCTCTTGGGACCTCCAAAGCTAGTTTTTTATGCAATTTCCACAATGATTTCCACAGTGGTTATACCAGTCTATACTCCCAGTTGGCAAATGTTTTTTCCCACATTGTGAATTATCTCTGCTGGTGGTTTCTCTTGCTGTGCAAAAGCTTTTTAATAAGATGAGATCCCAGTTGTTAATTCTCTATGATAGTTTCTGTGCAACTGGGCTTTTTTTGGGGGGTGGGGTGGGGTGTTTTTTTTTTTTTTTTTCTCGTACCGGGAATCGAACTCATGATGTTGCGCTTGCCAGGCAGGCGCTGTGCTGCTGAGCTAAATCCCCAGCTCCTACGGCTTTTATTCATAAAGTCTTTGGCTATACCTATGTCTTCAAGAGTTCTACCTATTCTATCTCTAGATGAGTGATTGTTAAAAATTATTTCCAACACTTAGATGCAATGAGATGTACAAGGGAGCTCACCAGGTTCCTCATATAGCAGCAGACTTTCAAGCTCATGTAGGAATCAGGAGGCAGCTGTATTGATAGACCCTTCTAAGAATGTACCTAGGGATTAGGTCTACCAGGCAGTAGCAATAGCACAATGTGTATTACAGGCCACAGTACCGTTGAGACACTGGTGGGTAGTGCTGCTACTTATTAGAGTTACCTTGCCCCCAACACTTAATCATTTTAGTCTTGAATAACTGCACCATCTACCACTTAGGAATGATGCAAGAGAAAACCTACAAACATGAGTTCCCATCACTATTGTCAAATTAAATGTGCTTCCATAAAAATGAGCTGGGGATCAATAGTGTGCATCAATCCTTTACCACCTAAAATGGGTAAATTTTCTAGATAAAGTTTATACTTCAAGTACAAAACTGGATATTGAACCAACGACCTTGTGTATACTAGGGGAGTGCTCTACCGCTGAGCTACATCCTCAGCACATTTTATTTTTTGAGACAGGTTCTTGCTAAAGTTTGTGACTCTCCTGCCTCAGCCTCCAAAGTAGCTGGAATTACAGGCATGTGATATCATACCATTCAAAAATTTTAAATATTTCTGATGAAAAGCTCTACAAAATTGTATTATCTCTGAATACATTTATTTTTTTTAAATCATCAGGATCATGACCATATGAATGAATATTGAAGTTAGACAATTATTTTTACTGCACTGAACTCAAATACATTGATAGTTTTGGGGCTATTAAGTAAATCTGACTCCCTAAATTTTAAAAAGCCAAACCAGTTGTCTGTATTTTATTAAAGTTTTTCTTCTTACTGACTTTCAAATAGCAGCTAATCTTAGCAATCCTACTTTACTTTTAGTAGTGTGTACTTTCATTTACTAGCTTAGAAAACATTTCCAAGAGTTAGAATAGCACTTTAAATGAGAAAAAAATAGCTCTGATTAAGGGCCTAAGGAACGGTTTTATGAGTATATCATTTTCTAACAACAACTTCACATTCTCAGAAACTTTCACTCCTCAGTTCCTGGTTCGTGGATGTGCTCCTGATGTTTCTAAGAAAGGTGACTAACATAAATGGGATATTACTGCCTTTTCAGTGAATTAAAAAATATATTCCAAGTATATTTTAGAAATACACAAAGGCCTCTGCTCCAAGACAAAGAGATTACATTCTATTCTTGTGTCCATGTTCTGGAAGCAGGTTTTGGTGCTTGGAACTAACAATATGCCTGGAGGTAAATGAAATCAAGGCATACATCCAGTAAGAGGACAAAATGCTTTGAAGAAAACTAAGGAAGCATTTTTCTTTAGAATGATGCTTGCATAGAATAAAAAAACTGAATGTGACATCCAACTCCTTTATATTTGTGAGACTTAGATCTGCTGTTGTCCCATGTTTCATAATACAATCATAAGTAGGTACTATATATTTCATAGCAACATAGCAAGGAGAGGTATATTCTTGTCTAAAGCATAAGGAAATATTATTAGGATCCTAAAACTTTAACCTGGAGCAATGCAGGAGAGGACTTAAGATGATGGAGAGGCTGACACAAGCTAGCTACTTCAACTATACGAGGAACTGAAGGAAGCCTAGGAAATAAAAACCAAAACTTGACAGAAAATGTTATCAACAGAATGTAATTCCCATGTTTTCCGATGGGTAAAAAGGATTGGAGACAAATGTACTGGTGAACCACAGGTCATCAAAGCAAGTAGAA